GTATTTTGCAGACCAAAACCCACCAAAACAACACACAACTTAAAAAGAAGAAAAGGAACTTAATGCCAATTATGTCAGTTCATAAGATCACTTTATAAATCAAGTAATAACCACAGAGAAGTTGTGCCTGGAGAGGACCAAGGCCAGTTTGGACGGGATCCTGGGCTACCTGATCCAGTGCCAGATTTGGTGGCTGGCAAATGTACTCACAGAAGAGGGGTTGGAACTAGGTGATCCTTGAGATCTTTTCCACCCCAAGCCATTCTGTGATTCTGTATGCCTCAACTCAGCCTATGGTGCTATGTTGTGCCAGCCAATGCACTTCTATGCACTCACTAAAACTGCCCAAGTCCACCTCACAGTTTCTGCATGCCCTGTAACACAACCTCTCACCACAAAAATGTATGTCCTAACTTGCTGCTCAGATCTGTTCTGTTCTTTGGACATGGATATCCCTGCTTACTAGTTTTTCTTCACATAGCAGATCCTCTGCTATCTTTCTTCCAAGTGCTGAAGAGGTAGATGTTCTATCATCTATTGATATTCTTTCTTCCAAGAAAGAAAACCAAGTACACCGGTTTGCTTTGGTATTTGTATGTCCCCACTGGTGCATTTTAATTCACCTTTGAATCCTATGAAAGACATTTTACAAGAGAGCTATTTTAATAGCCCACACTGCAGTTTTACTTATAAATCCTAGAAAATTAGGAAATATCCTAATCCTATCCACTGAGACAGATTGCTGTCTATGTGTTTGTTCTAAAAGCAGAGTTAAATAAAGTAAGCACGTGAAGCAAACTGTGACTCAAACAACTATTTTAAGAGATAGTGGAAAGGCTACTTCAACCTAACTTAATTTCTTCTGTTTCATTCTGTTTTTCAGTCCAGGGTTAAACTTGAAAGAGCACCCACCCCCCAAAAAAGTGAGATAGGGCATGTTTAATTCATGGTTAGCCAGGAATTATCAGTGAAAGCCAATAAATTTATAAGAGAAAGGTTCAAACATACTCTAAACAGGACAGCCTAATGCCAAACTCAGAAGTGCATTTACAGGTGCTACACAGAATGTGCCAAAGCTTGTCAAGGAGTTAACAGTTTAGTCACCTTTTCTGCTATTAGGCTTATTCTGATTTTTTTTTGTTTATTTGTTTGCTTGTTTTCTGGGTGAACTATACTTCAGAGTTCTGGGTAAATTATGCTTTTCTTTTGAATATTCTAATTCTTTATAAGTGAATATTTATTTAGAGAGGCTGAACAGTACCGTTTCTTCGAAGAACAATGTAGGAAAATAGGAAAGCTTGCCTTTGACAGGGTCTACTTCAGGGAAACAGATGTTTACAACACAAGTTGCTCATAATCATTACACCAGTAATGTTTATTGTTGTCTTCAGAAACAAATAAATAAAGCACATAAAACATCCAGACCCCTTCTGTCATGGGTGCTCTACTGGCTTCAACTGTGAGATTTCCTGTAATAAATCACAGCAACTGTCTTTGTTTTCAAGAATCATTGGGGAAGAGATGAATAACTGCAGGGGGAACTTGTTCTAGCCCACGAGCTACTCTTACCATGGTAATCCTGTTGTTGCTCTGGCAGTAATGTGTGACAGCCATGTATCCTGAATCAGTGTCACTCAGAGCAGGGTTTTTCAGGGAAAGTGAGAGGTAAGTCATGATTCTTTGGGAACCAGTGTGCGTGCTACTTGCGAACCGCAGCTGCCTGTCCCATCTGTAGCTAATCTCACTTTGACAGGACACGTGGGTACTGCTGACAATGAAGCAAAGCTTTGGGGGAGTGGGAGGGATGAGCTTTTCACAAGCATTTTTCTACTTGCTTTGAGGTTTTTTTGGAGACTGTTAACTGCACCATCCTGCTGCTCCTAAAATTACTAGGAGAAAATACACAAACAGTATACATGCAATATTAAGTTCTGCTATATTACTTAACTGTTTAATCAGTCTTGGAATATGCCATGTAAAGACGCTAGGATTTCTTCATTTTTAAACTAATAACTTACAAAACCCATTGCCACTTTCTGATAAAGCCCCGGTTAGATATCTGGATAAAAATGACACCAGACACATGCGTGCCGTGGTGTTTCTCTTTTGAAATAGAATCCCACCTGTCTGGCATTAAGCAGTCTTAAGAAATATCTAAAATTCATGTTTGCACAACTTTCAAAAACTCAGTATTCTTAAAGAAGTGAACTCCATGGATTTGAAATGAAGTCTCCCAGAAGAGACCAACAAAATCAAAATATTAGTCATCAGTCCGATCTTTTGTGTAGATTGTCTGATATTTAATATGGGAACAAGAATTTTGTTTCAAGTATGCAAGCTTATCAAATTATTGTTAAAGGGTGCATTTACCTAACTGCTTGTTCTCACAAATCACACTTTACTCTCTGTAAAATTTGATTGCTATCAGCCAGTAGTTTCAAGGGCACTTCATGGTAACTGAAGGTGTATCATTTTGAATACGGGTAGTTCTTTCCAGCTATGATGAACCAGATTAGCCTCTGACTTTATTTAAATTCATAGCAAATTGCTGAAAGATTGCCAGTTACGCTTTTCTGTATAAAACCCTGCATGATTTAAAATGATCCAGCTTACCATTATGTGCCCTTATAACCTACTATTTGAATCACAATAGATCCAGTCAGAAGCCCTAGGTGCACAGGCGCTGCTATTAAAATATGGCTGCACGAAGAACACTGAGCAGTACACCCTACTGGTGACACAGCACTGAGCACAGTTACATCAAGCAATGTCAGACCGCTGTGAGCTCATTCAGGTACGATCCTTCATAAAACTCATTAAATCACTGCCTGTTGTTGCAGTCCTTAATCGTAGTGATAGAGAATTTTCAGCCTATGCTTTTCTACAAGAAAAGTGATGAAGAGTACTGCAGTGTGAGCTCCCATGAGGAATTATGAATGTCTTGAAATGACGTTCCCTCCGAGGTCTCTTTGACAACTCACACTCTATCACCTACCAACAAGCATAACAGAGGCATAGAAAGTCCTCTTTTGCATTTTGTAGCCATGAAGAAGCAAGTGAGTTTAGAAAGTTTTACTGAACTATTTGTTTTCCAGTCCTTTGTTGAACACCAGCATTTTGCAGCTGCAGTCAGAGGTTATGTGCTTCAGACATTTGCAAAAATGAGTTCTTGTGAAGAAATTAAGATATATATCCTAATGCCTGCTTTGGCCTAAGGAGGGCTAGGTGTGGTATCACAGTAATGACATTCCAGTAAAATTTGAAGCTAGAATGCTCAGAGAATCAGAGGTGTCACAGCCAGACTGACCAACTAGTGTGATAGCACCTGCCTTGAGTTTCCCTGGTGAAAGGCTCTGAAAAATTTTATCCTAAATTTTAAAGACTGGATCCAATATTTGGTATGGGCATCAGGGTATAAAATAATTGATATTAGTTTGCAAATTAAATAAATTACTCAGGTCAGTCATTGCCAAACTCAGGAGGCACGTTCCTTGTTGCCCTGAAGTTCTGCTAGCACTCCTGCACATGACAGCAGCTCTCCAGCTAGGCTAACAATGAGGCCACCAAAAGTCCACAAAATGTGATGCACACGTTCAGAAAAGCCTGCTACACCAACCAGGTTGAGCTGCCGCTCTCTTTAAAATATGCAGGTTGTCAGTAACTCTGCTCAGTTTGTATGTAACATGTACATAAACAGATGGCAGTTTCGTCCTTCAGAAACTTCAGACTGACAGCTTCCACCTGGCAGGACCCCATCCTCTAGTAGTCCAGGTGGCATCTGTGCCTCCTCCTGAAGCTACAGCCTCATCCAAAATATTGCAGACTGGACAAGAAGGAAGTCCAGGCACGCAAAACTTTGTAGCTTACATACTGTCTAGATCCAGCTTAGTGTAGAACACAGGAGTCCTCCTTGAAAACACAGCTGGAGAGCATGTTTCTTCTTTCCAGCTGAGGTGCATCAGTCACCTTCACATGCTGGGCTGTGTGTTTCTTGGGTACTTTCCTTCCAGACTGAATTCTGCAGCTTTTCCATATGCTAGCACTACTCAAGGAACTGAAAGTACAACCCCGACACAAGAGGACCTACTGACAACTGCCTGACTGTATTTTCAGACTTTTTAGCTTTCTGTAACATGAGTTACAGAAAAGAGACAGCAGAGATTTGCTGTCCAGTTAGGCTGAAAACCGAACCCACCACAACGAAACGATGTTTGCTTTCACAGGGAGCTCAGCTTGTGAAATGGGGCTAAAGAATGTCCTCACCAGCACTGCTAGGGGCTGCACCCAGAGCCGAGGTGGCCCCGAGGCGGCTACGTCTCAGTGCGAGCCCCGGAGGAGCTCAGGCTCTGCCATCACACTGCAAGCGCCCGCGGTTCTGTAGAACGGCGTTTATTTCACTGTGCTGCCTTCTGTATCTTTGCTTCAGCCCGAATGTTGAGGATCTGAGCGGTTCGGCACACTTGACAAGAAAAGAGTTGTCAGAGGCGCTTTTCACACGCTGAAGTCATTCCAGACGGCATCACTAGCCGACACCTGGAAGCGAACCGGGAGCACAGTGGAGGAGATGGGAGCGTGCCCCGTTCCCACGGGGGAGGATGGCTGCCGTCGCGCCCCTACCTCACGCCTCGGTGCCGCTCGGTGCCGGGCAGGTGAGCAGGCGGGACGAGTCTGGCAGGGAGCTTCCCTGCCCAGGAAAGAACCTCGAGATCGGGAGGAAAGAGCGTTTTCCCTTCGTCCGGAGGACGGGGCGGCGCTCCCGAGCCGAGCCTCGACGCCCACCCGGTACGCGGGCCCGGCAGTGGCAGCATCAGGAGGCGGGGGCGGGAGGGCACTGCCCGGGGCGGCGGGATCAGACCGGGTGAGGCGATGACTGAGCGCCGCCCTCAGCCCATAAAAGGCGCAAGGCGGGCGGCAGGCTGGGGCAGCTTCGGGTGGCGGTCGCACTCGGGGCAGCTCCGCCGGACGGGACGCTGCGCTACGGAACGGGACGGCCGCTCACCATGGGGGCGAAGCTGCGACTGCTGTGCGCCGCAGCGGCGCTGCTGAGCGCGGCCGTGCCGGGACAGCCCGAAGCGCAGGGTGCGCTGCTCCCCGCGGGCGACGGGGACGGATACGGGGTGAAGCTGTGCGGCAGGGAGTTCATCCGTGCCGTCATCTTCACCTGCGGCGGATCCCGCTGGAAGCGGCTCTCCATGCTGGCGACGGAGCCGGTTCCCGCGGTCGGTGAGTGCCTGGGAGCCGGGGGGACTGCGCGGGACTGCGGAACGGGCGCGGGGCTCGTCTGTCCGCGATGCGAAAACGGGAGAGGGGAGTCCGAGAGGAGGGAAACTCCGAGCTCCGGGGCGGGCGGGGGTTCAGCCGCTGCCCTGAGGGAGTTCCCCGCGGTGTCGGCGCTCGTCCGTGCCGGAGACGGACGGCGGAGTCCCCGCGCCGCGACGTGCGGGCGGTGTCCGTGCTTAGCGGGACCAGCGGAGCCCCGAGCCCGGCGCTGCGGACTCACATCCCGACAGGTGGAGCTCCGTCAGCGATCTTCGGTGAAGTATCTCACGGGTAAAACGTTCCGCGCGATTTTACGAAGTCGAATGCAGTAAGGTGGGGTAGGCGTATTGTTTTTGGATGAGTTCTCAAACAAGTTGTGAAATGCGCTCATGTAACGGCAATTTCAGGTGCTGGCTCTCATCTGCACTGATGCTTCAGCATGTGAAAGTGACACTTCTAGGCAGAGAAGAAGTCAGAATTATGGCTGAGATGTGCAAGCAAAGGGCTGCTTTCTTCTTATTTAAGCATGCCATGAGCAAAGTAACTTTTTACTTGCTCAGTAAATTAGTTCTTTTCTCTACCTTTTTAACAAGCTTGAGTAGTAGATAATAACTGTAACAAACCACAGTCTCCAAAGTACGTGAGCAGTTGCTTTTCTTTTTGTGTGGCACCTTCTCCAGCCATCCCGCTGGGCTGGAGCCTTCCTGCTCCGGTGGTTGCTGAGGAGCAGTAACCGACTGACAGAGTGAAGGGGCTATGACTGCCACCTTCTTTATTAAACATATTTTGGTACGTGTTCCATCTGCCATGTGTCATTTGTCCTTACTGAAGTAAGTATAACATTCCCTGCGTATTCTTGTATTCTTTCAGCCTTCTGAAACAAATAAGACCAAAGAGACAGCACTGAGACTAAAAGGCAAGCACTTCTTTCAGGCTGTTTAACTTTAGAATAAAATAAGTTGCTTCTCCTCATATTAGCTGAAATAAGCAGTGGCAGAAGTAAAACCAGGAGAAGCAATGCATGTTGAATGGAAGTGGAGCTGGATCTATGGGAACAGTGGGGTCAGGGGGACCAAGTGTGTTCTGAGACTTTCCAAGAACTGGAACCTGTCAGCTGACATTATAAAGACATTATGTCATCTGTAAGAAATAGTTCATATGAAATATTTGCATATTGAATCCAATACTCAGTCCTCCTCCCTTCATTTTTTCTTCACTTGTTATCAGTTTGTGTAACTGTGCGTGAGAAGGGAGTGGTCTGATCTAACTCACATGTCACAGCCTTGCACGGCCTCTGGACACACCTCCTTAGAACTTCGTTTACAGAGGGATTGACAGACCTGTAGATGTAACAGTGTAGTTGTAAGGGGATGTGTGCATCTCAGGGACTGCCATCACACTGTACTTCTCCTTTCTTACAAGCAGCCTGGCCTTGGAAACAGGGGTTCTGCTATAAGTGATCCATAAATTAATCACAAATGTGGGCTCTGCAGCACAGCAGTTCTCCAAGATAAAAATGCTTTCCTTATTGTCCTGAACGGGTTTTCCCTTGCTGCTGCCTAGAGCTGTGCTTTCTGATAATCCTACAGTCTTAACCTGAAGTCTTTTCTTTCAAACAGATTCTTCTCAAGCAGCAAGTAACAACCTGTTGGGACACGTCAAGCTGCAGTCAGTTCTGGGTCCTGAGATGGAACAGATGCAGAGAAGCAACCCGCTTCTTGGATTGGAGAAACTGAAGGACTTGTATGCCTTAAGTGACTATAATGAATACGAGCCTGTGGCAGATGACTTCAAGGAACTTCTTCGCCAGCTAGAAGAGGCTGCTCCGAGGGACAAGGGGGGAGCAGGAGTTGCAGCCCCTGTAGGACCCAGTAGTTACCCGTGGGCCAGGAATCCCAGAAGAAAACGGGAGTCTCTGGGTTTGGCAGGAATGTGTTGCAAGTGGGGCTGTACGAAGGCTGAAATCAGTACTATATGCAGAGTTTAAAATCCTCTCTGCACTTGTGCATGAAATCTATGTTAGTTGCAGTGCTACTTGATTGAATACTGTGCAGAGGGAAGAAACTATGTATTTTATTTTGTCTGTAAGTGCCAGTCTATTAATAACAACATTTTTCTTTAAAAAAAAAAAAATAAATAAAAATCCTCAAGTGTAGCCGTAATGACTTAGTTTTGCTGCAGTAACTTTAAATCTCTATTTTTTTAAGAAGTCTTCACAATTCATCTTAATATCTGGCTGCTACTCTTATACTGCAAATGTAATTATCTTTGTAACACATCAGGAAAACCTTAAGTGATTCATTAAAGTATAGATATATTAAATATAATAGTTATCCTTTCTGAGGGAGACAACATCCAGGGATGTTCTTGAGATGAGATTCACAGTACAAAGCTGTACGACACTTCGCCTGTTTTAACTTCCCTGAAAACAGACTTAGCTCTGATTGTTTCAAACACATTTTTTTTTTTCCCCTTTTCTAACAATTGCAGAATTCTTCTATGCAATATCTTTCTAAAAAACTTACCACAGTAGAACACTTGCAGGCTAAATATTTCTTCTTTTGAGACGTGACCTTTGATCAAACAACTAATTAATGGGATTATTGCATCACTTCTTCATCTCCTTTCCTAAGATATTATTCTAGCACCTAGGTATCTATCAATCATCTTTATTACTTTTAAACCTTGTAAATTCTAGTCAGAGATGGTGCAGAATGAGCATTCACTATGAGCACTGCCCCCCAGCCCATATACAGCTTGGGCAGGTCTTCTTACACCTTGAGTGAAACAAAGATGTAGTTCCTGTCTTACAGATGTTAGCTTACACCTTGAATGGAGCAGCCTAAAGTTTAATTTCTTGGGTAAACACAACAAGGTGTTAAAACTATAAATAGCCAAAGTTGAAAGCATGAAGCATCAGTATTGATCTGACAGAAACAGGCATTGTCACAAGCATGAGTCAAGATGCGTCATTGTGCATCACCTGGGCAGAAAAGAACCGGATGAGGTTCAACAAAAGCAAGTGTAGAGTCTTGCATCTGGGGAGGAATAATTGCATGCACCAGTACAGGTTGGGGGATGAGCTGCTGGAGAGGAGCTCTGCGGAGAGGGACCTGGGTGTCCTGGTGGACGAAAGGTTGGCCATGAGCCAGCAGTGTGCCCTTGTGGCCAAAAAGGCCAATGGCATCCTGGGGTGCATTAAAAAGAGCGTGGCCAGCAGGTCGAGGGAGGTGATCCTCCCCCTCTACTCTGCCCTGGTAAGACCTCATCTGGAGTACTGCATCCAGTTCTGGGCTCCCCAGTACAAAAAAGACAGGGATCTCTTGGAAAGAGTCCAGCGGAGGGCCACAAAGATGGTGAAGGGCCTGGAGCATCTCCCCTATGAGGAAAGGCTGAGTGAACTGGGTCTGTTCAGCCTTCAGAAAAGACTGAGAGGGGACCTGATCCAGGTCTATAAATATCTAAGGTGTGGGGGGCAGAATGGCGAGGCCAGACTCTTTTCAGTGGTGAGTGGAGACAGGACAAGGGGAAACGGACACAAGCTGCAGCATAGGAAGTTCCGCACAAACATGCGCAAGAACTTCTTTACAGTGAGGTGACGGAGCACTGGAACAGGCTGCATAGGGAGGTGGTGGAGTCTCCTTCTCCGGAGATGTTCAAGACCTGCCTGGATGCCTACCTGTGTGACCTGCTGTAGGGAACCTGCTTTGGCAGGGGGTTGGACTTGATGGTCTCTGGAGGTCCCTTCCAACCCCTACAGTTCTGTGATTCTGTGATTCTGTGACCTGAAGAAATGGTAAAATTTGTGGTTTTATTTGGTTTCCTAATAGTCCTTGTGTAGTCTTTAAAGGCATAGCAGCTGTGACACAGATATCAAATAATTTGAATTAAGTTGAAATTCAATTTGAATTTTACTCAGAAAGGAAATATTTGACTCCATGAATACATTTGTATACTCAAAGATGTTGGTTTTGTTTTAATGAAAAAAAAAAAACCTTAAAACCTCCATTTGTTTTTTCTGTGGGTATATTAAATTTTACAGTAGTTTCTTTACGCTGTGGCTTTAGGTGACCATTACACATCACTCCACTGCTGCAACAGGTCTAACCATGTGGCTGGATGCAGGCTGCTGCTGATTGCGGGCTTGCTGTCCAAACACAAAAACACTCATGCTTTCTTTAAGACCAGAAGCAAACTTGATACATAAAATGAGATGTCTGACTAATTAAACAGGGGAAGCAAAGATGTTTTTAAGCAGACAGTTCAAAATATAAAAATACATTGAGTCAATACATTGATCCAAATGGCAAACATGAAAGCTTAGTACTGTGGTACATATAGAGCAGCATAAATATGCACACAGCAGTTCAAAGTAACACACTGTGTTTTACCACCACAGTTGTTCAAAGATACACACATTTCTACAAGAAGTTGGCCTTTTTCTCCCCTCCATTTCTTTCAGTGATCAATTTGCTATTGAGAAAAGCATTGTCTTAGCAATCGCTGTTTAGAGAAATTGCAGTCTCGTTGATGTGAACTTAACTCCAATAAAGTGGTCAATATTTGAGTAATCTATCAACGTGAGCCATCTTCTGAACAGTTGTTTGAAGTTTGTGATTAGAAAATGATACATTACCACACTGCCATATGAGCAGATATTTGTATCTGCAAGAGTTTATCCTAATGAGGGGGAGGTCCAAGATTATTTTTTTTCTACTGTGCATAAAATCTGATGCAGGTCTGACTATGAATTCTTTGAACAAATCAGCCCAAAGACATATGGATAATACCTATGTCAGTCCAAAAGTAATGCCCACTATTTATTTTAATGGAGTGACAACAGATGCGAAGACTACAATAATACTATTTGATAGAGCACGTTCTCAGCTACAAAATAACATTTTTCAACAGAGTCATCACCTTAATCTGTTTTGCATGGGTGAGCTGTTTAAGACATTCTTCAGCAAAAGCTGTGCGTAGCCATCCAGAACATGGCTTGACTTCTGCGTTGCGTCATCACTGCTGAAATGCCTCACCCACCACCTCTCTGTGGTCACATCCACTGTTTGGTCTCCATAAATGCTCAGCAAGTGAAGACAAATGTCATTTGGTGCCATTTCTTTGCATGGAGCAATTCAGTGGTACACCTTTGCTTCATGCATACGTTCATGTCAGATGTCATTCTGTCAGACTGGCACTCTGTTGTCTTCTGTCATATGCAACAGAATGTAGTGAAATGTTGGTGGGAAGATTCAGTCTGTGCTGTCATACCACCAACATCCACCTCAGATGTTCTGGGCCAACATAATAAAATAGGAGGCATTACGTCCAGAGCAGGCCTTGTACTTCACATGTCTGTGTCTACATCTTTTTCAACATTGTGTTTTCAAAAGACTTTCTGAGACTACAGTCCCTCCTCCTCATCAAACAGCAGAGACATAGCTGGAGATGCAAACTACTTTTCTTGTCAGCAGAACATAAGGTGGTTGGATTTATAGCTTGTGTGATGCACTGCATGCTCACTTTTACCAACAAGGAGCTGAAAGACGCTCTTCTTCTCAGTTGTGCCACACATACCCATCATAAGTTGAATGAATTTTTGATCACACAGCTTTTCTGCATCCTGGGAACAAACACAGGAGCTGTTGGCACTTTATCCTGGGTTTTTACTCCATCAGCTACATGACCATCGCTCTGCTGCTCTGTGCCACCTGCCTCATGGCTGGTCCTTGGTATCAAGTTCTCCCTCCACAGCATGCATGTGCAGTGCTATTTTCTGGCCTATGTATTCCAGAGAACCAGAACTATTAAGGAGGAAATTATATCTGCTCACCTGTCTGCAGTCTCTTCCTCTACCTGTCTTCACATCTACGCTTCTCCTGCTCCGGATTTCTCCTGTACTTGATCTGTAAACCTACAAATCCCACAACTGCAGCACACCATCATGTTTTAACCTTGAAATGCACAAGGCCACATCTGTACCCATGGATCTTCATGAGTACTTCTTTGTTAACACAGATATGTGAGGCACATACAGAAACTCAGAAGGGAAACCAAAGCTTGTTTACAGCCTTCGCACTTTGAAAACGTTGTGTGCTGTCCTTTCAGTGGGCCAACCACACTGTCCCCAGCTGGATGGGCACCTTTGCCTTCTCTGAGTTCTGCAGCTTGACCTGAATGTCCTCAACTCCATGCAGTCTCTATGAAGTTGCAGCTGGCGCCGAGTATCTTCAGAAACAGTTTTGTTCTAACAAGCTGAAAGACAAGTGTAGTAAGGTGTGACTTTCTGTTTATGTATTTGAGCTGAAACCATGATTTCAGCTCTCCACTTACCATTCTTTATTGGGATGTTCAATACCAAGCATTTCCCTGAGTGATCAATCTGTTAAAAAACATTTCTCTATGACTGCACTGCTGGCCTTTCAGAAGTCGAACTCAGCACCAACCAGCCTTAGCATCAAAGGCCACCACTGGAGAACTTCTTTGTCTTTGGTTTTACACCTTTTGTCCCTGTGCCAAGAGGTGAAATCCCTGCTACACAGGGATGGTTACCACACACCAGCACAGTGTGAGGGTGCAGTTCCCATTCACTCTTTTCCAATTGAGATGAGATGTAGTGCCAGGCCAATCTCAGCTCTCCTTTGCCATCTGTTCACTGCTGCTGAGTGGCAGAGATTTCAGCAGTCAGGCCAGAACTCCTACAAATATGCAACAGCTTTTTGTCTTTGACTTTTTTTCAGCAACATACAAAGGGAAAGGTGTGTACAGCCGTATGTGTAGGCCAAGGTACCTGAACAAACAGACCACTTTTCAGGGCTTCTTGAAGTTTGTAGCAGTACTGCTACACTTCCATAAAGAGGAACGTTGGGTACTCCTCACTATTTGTCAGATTTCCTGTGTTACTGACACTGATTTTAAGTTTCTCATGGGTGGTCTCCTGGGTCTTTTCCGCTCTCATCAAGCACTGTCTTACAATAAGAACTCTGTGTTGTCTACCTCAGAAAGCTCACCAGCTTTATATGACATGGGAAAAGGCTTATTCTTCTGCAGAACAGCTGGAATAAACACACCAACTCTTTGTTTCAATTTTAACCCACCTACAATATTTGCAGGCTCATCTGCCTGATGTAGTAAAAAGGTTCTCAGCTTTACTTAGGAAACTTCCTGCATGGCACCAAGGACTGTTTGGCAGGTCATCTCAGCTGCTCACCTTCACAGTTTCTGACAGGTGTGGAGTGCAGATATGTTCAGAGGTTCATTCATCCTGCAAAGGACTCT